ACTTTTTCCCAAGTTATACATAAAATATACATTTTTATAATAATCCATTATGTCTCTATATGAATTAATTTACAAAAATGTTTATTAAGTTTAAAGGATTCAAAAATAACCACATAAAAATAGGTAGTTATATCTCTATAGTATCCCAAATTTTACAGTATTTATTTAGATCTTTATTATAAAAACACCTCTCGATTTCATTTTGAACCTCAATTCATTTCAAAAATTAACCAGAAATTTAAAAAATATTATGTTCATAAATAAATACGTCAATATAAGTATGACACTCATAATAATATTTTTAATAAATTAAAACCTCATAATATGGCTACGTTATTATCCTGACAAAAATAAATTTAAAACATAATTTTAATTAATAAAAAACAACACATTGATTTAAACAACATTTATAGAAACACAAGAACAATACAGAGTTTAGTAAAAACACTGATGGTGAATACAACTTGTAATCTTGAATTGAGATACTCCTAAACTCTTCCTCTAAAAACTATCTAAAAACTAAGCTATTTGTTTAAAGAGCTTATTCTGAAATTTAGAGAGAGAATCTGAGATGATGCCTCTTGAAGGTTAAATACACACCTATTTATCGGCTTAAATTCATACTAAGTGAACGTTTGGTTCATAAATTCAGAATTATTCTCATTTTATGTGAGAAAAAAATACTGTAAAAAATTATAAATTATGATTCAAAATCAGAGATGAATACATGAAACAAATATCTCCTAAACTATTGCAAGTGTCCAACCCTCTAGCATTATTTTTTTATTATTTTTTTCCTTTTCTTTCTCTTTCGGAGCAGGTGGAGACGGAGCTGAGAATCAAATTTTTCGCAGGTGATCCAGTGCGGCAAGCTTAGATAAAATTGGGCTCTGATTCGCCTGAAAAGTCAATCATGGAGTCAAACAAATCTGGCGGCTCGTTCAAAACGTTGGACATGTGGCAAATGGACAAGAAAACTGAGCTCAGTAAGATCGATGCACAGGATCCAAAGCTGGAATATTCCGGGAGACAGGGAGACACGTGGCGCGTGAGGATTGGATGAACGGCTGGAGCGGAGCAGGTGCTGCTGGAGTGCGCTGTCGTAGTGGGGCTCGCAATCTGAGCGATGCGTTTCTGTCGGATTTGGCTTGCACGCGCGCATCTGGGCCGTGTTCATGCCTGATCCAATGGCATGAATTCAAGTCAAATAAAAATAAAATTAATATAAAAAATATATTATAATCGAATTTTATAATATTTGAAATACCAAATGTGGTCTAAATTTAACAGTTTTTATACCGTTTTGCTCTAAATTTTAAATACTACTTAGATAAAATAAAACACATAAAATTAAATAAAAACATATTAAAATAAATTTAAAACACACCAAATTTATTAAAATTAGAATAAAACACAATAATTTAATACTTAAATAGAAAAACATAATAGTATATTAAAATCTCCAAAATTAAACTGACTTTTGTACAAAATTAGAAGTAAAATAAATCTATTTCATAGAGTTATCATTACTTTAATTCCTCATTGGCTCAAAACCTCTCAAGTGGGTTACGAGCCTAATTGAACTAAATAATATGGGTTTGTTTACGTTCTTTGCCTTCTAAATCACGACCCACGATTCATGAAGCGTGATTTGAGTCCACATATTGTACCTTAGCCCATACAGTGAGATATAAATTGGGCTTATGCCTTCCCAAAAAAGGGGATCAACAATATTTAAGCTATTTTATCAACAACATTAGTGATGAATAAATTATAAATGATAGTTTGAATGTCAATCATTTATGTTTCAAAAAATTTAGATGAATAAATTATAAATGATAGTTTGAATGTCAATCATTTATGTTTCAAAAAATTTATGATTCCTTGAAAATTCTATTGACCATAGAATAGGGAATAATAGTCGTTATGCCTTCAACCGCAATTTTTAATAACATGAAAGATAAACAAAGTTCGTATAAATCAACTCTGTCTCTAGCTAAGTATTAAAAAATGGAAAAAAAACCCTCAACTGCAATTAAAAAGGATTCATTTCACCCCTAAAATATGTATCTCAGTTCCAAATATCTCCTACATTTATAAAACTAATAAATTGATGACACCACACTATTTATGTTTTTATAAATGCTCCTTAAACTATTGATTTCAGTTCAACTTGTCCCTTAAATTATTACTTTTGTTTCGTGTCAACTTGCCCCATAACCTTTTAAAAGATCAAAAGGCAAGTTAACACGAAATTGATAGCTCATGGAGCATTTATGAAAAATATTAGTTCATGAGTGTTTTGTAGCACTTTTTATATTTTAAGGGGTAAAATAGATCATTTTTAAATTTTAGAAGGCATAGGCGTATTGAAACGGGGTACAAAATTCAGGGGTATTTATGAAATTAATCTCTAAAATTATAGTGGAAGTTATATTTTATATGTGTTTTTATGATCCTTAAAAATATAAAGCATATCAGAAGCAAGCAAATAATTTGTCCGTAAAACGTTCTAATTAGTACGTATCTAAAGACTCTAATTTTCAATAAACCCTCAGGGGTATTTATGAAATTAATCTCTAAAATTATAGTGGAAGTTATATTTTATATGTGTTTTTATGATCCTTAAAAATATAAAGCATATCAGAAGCAAGCAAATAATTTGTCCGTAAAACGTTCTAATTAGTACGTATCTAAAGACTCTAATTTTCAATAAATCCCCCCCGCTCCCCCCCCCCCACAC